ATCAAATGTCGTTATAACCTAACTGCATGAGTAGCCTACGCTTGTTAAACAAGTAATACGTTGTGTGTTACATCGTGTAGCTTAATCTGTGAATAATGCGCAAACAGCCCTCAACATGTCGTGGTATCCGCAGAGTAGTGGTGGGAATTTTCGTTCCTTTAGTGGAATCGTTCCTTTCGGTACAGTTACTTAAAAGTAACGAATCCAAAGTACTCCGTACACCGGTACTTTTACTTTTTTGTAATTGAGTACCTTCATTGCGACCCGTTACCAAAACCAAACCAGTATTTATTCATCACATAAACAGTCATATCTACGCGAGACCTTAGTAGATACAGTAAAAAATTTAAATCCCTGAATACGCTTTTGCATTTACTCATCAGGTAATATTTTAAAAGACGCGAATGAATGCTTTTCTGAAAATGTTTTAATAAGAATTTTTTTTTAGCAATATATATACAAAATTATTGATAGGCATAATATTAAATTTTAATGAAAAAAATACATACCTTACCACAAAATAAATAAATAACCGTATTTTTTAGACTCGTACAGAACAATATAACATCACTTAAAATTCGCCTGGACTATTATTTCCTTATTTTAATCAGTTATTTTTACTATTTATGCACAGTTAAACTTATTAATGTATGATGTATAATATTATAATAAATACAATATTAATCGTTCAGTTATGTATCAGAATATATTTCACTATATATGTATTTGTTTATGTATACAAATATATTTGTATAATCGACTAGACCAATGAAATATAAAGTATACCTAATTCGAATTATTTGGGCTTAGAAAATATGAGGTATAATCAATCATAACAGTTTAAACTATCATATTATTAACCAATATGTTTAATAACATACTCCTTTTTTTTAAATTATATATATATGCAAGATTAAAAATATCTTCAAAATAATATTTATTTTAAAAGATATTTTCAATTTTTTCTTAAAATTTTAAATCATTTATAACATAATTTCATTAAATTATTTAACTATATAAAAAACGTCTTTTAAAATTCTTAATCAAAAATTACTATTTAAAAACAGTTACATTTCTGAATTTTTAACTGTAAGTCTATTACGCCTTTTAATAAGGTATAACACATAGTTACAGCACTTCGCAGGACGACGCCGCCATTATTTAATCACTTTCCGGTTACGTGAATCGTGCCTAAAGCAGTTGAGCGCAAGTGGACTAATGCTGTTAGTTTGTATTTAGAATTGCTCTAAATGTTCGGTGTATTAGCCCTCAATCAATAATATTATGTTATTTGTCTTTAGTAGACAAATTTATTCTATGCAACAAAAAAATAAATAAGCTTACTAACGGTGCATAATTAAACCCAAACTGACATGTTTTATTCTAAAAAAAAATAACTTAGAAAAATAATAAGAAATATAGAAAGGGAATAACTGCCACGTCTTTCTACCTTGACTTGGTTCTTGCAAACTAACGGTCGTTGAAACTACAGGCGACCCTCATTCTCTCTCAGCCCGGCAGGTAGCACCCAGTCTCACTGACTCCAAGTTAGGCAGTTGGTCAACCGGTCCGAACTTCCTGCCTCTATGTTCGCCGACACAATTAAGGATTCGTATAACTTTACTTTGTTATTTATTTATTTTTTAACTCTAATTGAGTATTCTACTACTATTCTATAATATTCAAATTATGTTGGTAACATGTTATTTAATAAATCATATCTAAAAAAAAAATGATTTTAGATTTCACGTGAATTTAACAATGAATTTTTACAATTATAATCAATATTTATAACACGTTCAATTGAGTAATTTTTCAACATTTCTTACATTGTTCATTTTTTATTTTAAAGCGAAACTAAGAAGGTATTGGTCTTGTGATGCTGTAATTAACTAAAGAATTTTTATAGGTTTCAGAATTTTCAATCTAATATATTAGAAAAGAGACGATTTTAAGTGTTACTATTTTTATTTATCCTTATATGGTTTAAATAATTAATATTTAAAAATTTTTTATTGACTACTAGCGTCTAAATTTTTTACTAAATAAAAAGTTAAATATATTAATAAATCCAACATCACAAAAAAACTTAAAAAACAACGGATGTATATTTTAAAAACATTAAGATTAGCATTAAGTTTGACATGAAAAGTATCAAAACAATAAGAT